ACCCAGCAACTCCATTCCTAGGTATATACCCAGAAGACTTGAAAGCAGAGACTTGTACACCAATGTTCATTGCAGTACTGTTCACTGCAGCCAGAAGATACAAACAACTTAAATGCCGGTCAGCGGATGAATGGATAAACAAAATGTGGTACATACGTACAATGGAATACTACTCAGCCAGCTAGAGAAATGAAGTCTTGATACATGCTACAATATGGATGGAGCTTAAAGAAATGCAGAGTGAAATAATGTCAATCACAAAAGGACAACTGTTGTATGACCTTGCTTAGATAAAAAGACAAGAACAGGCAAATGTATGGAGACCAAAGTTTCTTAGTGGTTACCAGGGATGGGTTGGGGGCGGGGGGGATTATTGCTTATGGAGTACTGAGTTTCTGTTTATGGTGATGGAAGAATCACATTGATTAAGGGTAGGATTGCACAGCCTATTAATGTAATTGCTGTCAATAAGTTATACACGTGTAAAAAGTTGGATTGGCAAAAGTTGTGTGATCCGTATATTTACAACGACAAAAAAGAAGAAAAAAAAAAAGAATAGCTGCTGAGGCTGCTTATGTACAACCAAACACCTCAAGGGATTTGGTTCCTTGGTTTGGAGGTTCAGTGTCATGGTTTCATGGACATCACAGTTAATTGGCCTAATAAGGTGTTTAGTGCTTTTGTTCTATCCCCTAGTTACTTGCATAGTGCCTGGGGTCTTAAAAGCTTGCTAGCAGCCATCCAAAGTACACAATTAGTCTCTATTAGCCTGGAGCAACAGAGGAAGAAGGAAAGTCAGGAATAGAAGGAGGAAATGGAATGTATGGCTAATTGCCTCCATGAACAACTGCCTCGTTTGCCATAAGACCAGAAGAACTGGATGGTACCTGACTACTACTACTAAACATTTTGATCAAAGATTTTATAGAAGAATCTTGTTCAAAAGGGGAGAAATTCAGAATAGAATTTCAAATTCTCATGGAGTACAGACATTCTGGAGCCATGGATGCTAGATGAACCTGTGAAAATAGTTCCCTGAGGCAACCTTTAAACCTTAAGCCAAAAATATCCCTGGACTCTTCTTAAAACCAAAAAATAGTTTAGCTTAACTAGGAAAGAACGTCTGTCTTGAGCATTGTGCTCTTTTAAGATCTATCTTTATGGGGTCAAATTGACAATAGCGACTTGGAAGATTAAATAGGAAACTTAGGGGGCAGTGAGTTTATTTGAATGGGGAAGGAGCAACTCAGAAAAGGAGGGTGAGAATGGTTGTACAATTCAAAGAATGTAATCAGTGTTAGTGAATTGTACATGTAGAAATTGTTGAATTGGTGTATGTTCTGCTGTGTATATGCTCAGCAGCAACAAAAATATTAATAATAATACGTGGTTCTTCATCTTGAGGACCACTTGAACCAGGGCCCCTTGGGCTAAGGTAGGATGCTTCAGCACTGGAGGGACTCAGCCATAATCTTTGGGCTGAAATAGTGAGTTGGCCTAAAGCAGGCCGTGGTTACACTCCTTGAAAAACTACATGTCTCCAGTTCCATATTCATTTCTCACCCAGGGTTATAAGTAGGTTTAGAAAGCCTGTAAACTAACCCTCAGGGGAAAAAAAGAGTTACTCAGAAATTTAATGGCTCCTTGCCAAATACTACCCTCTCAAGAGCTGAGGCAGGAGCACATGACACACGGAGAGCCACTTGCCTCTGTGTAGGCTTGGGCACATTGCTTACTCTCTGTGAGCCTCAGTTTTCTCTGTAAAACCAAAATTTGCATAAATACCATCATCCCTGCAGGTTTGCTGGGAGTATTACTGTAAGTTATATAATGAATGTAAGGTGTTTTGCACCATAACTGAGACATATTAGATATATGTGAGTTCCTTTTCCTCCCTGGAATGAACTGAAAAAAGTCCTAACTAACGCCAGAAGAGGAATGAGAATTTGGAGGTACTCTTGCTTCCCAGGTCAGGCTGCTGCCACAGCATGAGTATAGTGTGATGTGCCTGGCCGAGCAATGATCTTACTGTAAGACCTCTGTGTTTTCCTCACGGCCTCCTCTCCACCAAAGCTCCAAGGAGAAATGAGGGCCAAAGTCCCAATATTTAGTCTTAGCCAGCTCTGAGCAGCTTTTTAGAGAAGACAGCTAGGCCCTAGCACAGCAGAGTCCTTAGTGCCAAGCTGAGAGTTAATACTAGGATGCAAAAACTGTAATCATGGCACTGGGGCCAGTTATTTTCTCCAGCTTAAGGAAGTTACCACTCTTTCCTCCTTAGGCACTGAGCAAAAAGGAGGAGTTATTGCTGTGATTTGGAGCCCGGAGAGGGTTTGTTTGATTTAGTCCTGTCGGTCCATCCCCTCTAGCATGAGCAGGCACACACACTTCCAGTAAAATCCTTGATCATGAAGTTTCTTCCTGGCCATGGGAAAGGCTTTTTGGATTTGAAAATTTTCCAGAGTACTTCAGCTTTGCTAACAGAGGTGACTTGTTATGTTGAGGTCTTGCTAGGGAACAACTGAGGAAACAAGTGATCAGAAGAGAGCTTCACATTCAGTAAACATTTTTACAGGTGTACATCACGAAGCCTTCCACCAGATCCACTGAGCAGGAGGAGTCTCAGGAGAGCCCCCAGCTTCCTATCAGCCAACCTCTTTTTCCCTATTACATCTCCAGATTCTACCCACTAAACCACTGCCATTGAGTCGATTCCGACTCATAACAAGCGAGTAGAACTGCCCCATAGGGTTTCCAAGGCTGTAGTCTTTACAGAAGCAGATTGCCACATCTTTCTCTTGCGGAGGGGCTGATGGGTTCAAACCACCAACCTTTCAGTTAGTAGCAGAGTGCTTAACCACTGCATCACCAGGGCTTCTTCCAGATTCGACAGTGGTGGTTTGTCTCAGACAGAGAAAGTCACACATACTGGATGAGATAAGTGTTATAGGAGGTTTCTGAAGACCTCAATCCGACATAAGGAAAATAAACATAAGGAAAACCCAGGCTATCCATTGCTGTGGAAATCTGACCTCAGTCATTCTAGCCTCTTCCTTCCAGAAATCGTTCTCCTTTATATCCCGGATTCCAAAATAGCCGTTTAGTCTCTAATTATGGCTGTTGGAGTTCCTGTTGGCTCTTTCTTACCTGTAAACTATGCTTACCCCTTGCCTAGCTCCAGAGCATGTGTTCTCAGGCTCTTAAACTACTGAGTAGGAAGCATTCCCTACTCCCACCTCAGAAAAAGAAATTAGACTCTTCAATGACAAATGACAAACTAGCTCTCTTCCAGGAGCCTCTGTGTCTCGGGCTTTCTATACACTTCCTTGTTAACTTTTTATAGGGGAATTTTCCCCAGGGAGCATGAACCACCCTAACTGCTGGCTGGGCTGCTTTGCCTAAGGCAGAGGGCAAGTTGGAAAGCTCTGGATTGTCCTTAAAGCCCACCCACTGAGTGCATCCTAAGTCTGTGCCAAAAAGCAAACTAAGTACGGTCTGTGCCCATCTCTAGCCCACACCACGAAGGTGCTGTGGTTTTGGCCTTTTACTGCTTTCCAACAGGTTTTAACCTTCTTAAAGATAAAGATGACTCTGGAATGCCATAAAGTGCTAGAATTCCTTTTCGTATTTTACTAAAGTTTTGGCGTTTGGGAAGAATCTCTTTAGTGGCCTGCGCATCGACGGTTTCAGTTCTTGGAATGCCCTTTGCCTCATGCTCCATGCCTCCTGAGTTGCTTGAGAATTTTTCCTTAGTCGATGTTTTGTTTTGCCTTGTTTAAATAGGTGTTCACACCTTTCCTACTCATCTCCTCCCTCCCGCTGCCCACTTCTGACTCTTTAGGGTACTGAGTATTCACTTGTTAGGACAGAGGTCCTTCCACAGAGCTATCTAGGCTCAAAAAAGCAACTCAGCAATTCTAGGCCACCTCCAGTTCTTTTTCCCCCTATCTTCTTTGTATGGCATTATGACTAAATGTATGGATTCTAGAGACAGGCAGAGCTGAATTTGAATCTGCTACTTGACAGTTAAATGGTTTTGGGTAAGTGGTTTAACTTCTCTAAATCTGTTACCTTATCTGAAAAATGTGGTTGTTACTTTTACTACAGCAGAAGTAAAAATAGAACTCCCAGAATCACCTCAGAAGCTTTTTTTTCTGACTTACATGCATAAGATCCCCATCCTAGACCTACTAAAAAGATTGACGAGGCCAGGACATTGAGGGTGTTTTTGTTTGTTATGCAGCCCGGATGATTTTTCTGATGAAATGGCTAGATTTGGGAATCGCTTCTATATGTATTTACATATGTAGAATATGTAGTATAGAGTAAGGATGCAATAAATGCTAGTGATGATTTCCAAAAGAGCCTTTTTCCACCCACCAGACTTCAGGAGCCAGGAAGATGCTATTTAAACACATCCAAATGCTAAGAGCCGTTGGTGCTGTTCTTGGGAGTGTGACTTTAGGGTCTGGAATAGTCTTTGGTTTTTAAAATGCCCTTTTTTTTTTTCCTAAATGAGTATGGTTTTGATTAACCAGAGTCTTTGGTAAGAACTGTGGAGCACCTATTATTTGCATAGTTTATGTCCTAGGAATATTTCACGGGATCTGAGCTTGAAATGAAATTTGATATTTGTTCCCAGATGAGAGGCAAGAGGGATGGGTCAGCCCAGGGACCAGCCCCAGGTTGCCCAGACCAAAGGAGGAGAGGCTGGTTGGAATTTAGACCTCTAGGTCTGCAGTCCCTAAAGAACTGAAGTCAGGATGTCTGCTCGTTTCAGGCCTTGGGGAAAAGATCATTATGAGTATATCCCAACTCTAGCCTTCTCTAAAGCCGAGTCCTTCTTGGCCTAGCTGAGCCATTCTGCCTTCTAATGATAACTTGAGGTATATAGCCTTTAACTGAACCAACCAGCTGTTCCTGGCCTACGAGGGAGCCAGAACCGCTAGTGAGGAAGGTGATGAGAGCCCTGGGCACTTCCTAACTTGGTTACTCTGTTACAGAAGCAGCATCCAGGGCAGCGTTATCTGTAACAATGCTGTGATCGAGAAGGGAGCAGACATCAAGGATTGCCTAATTGGAAGTGGCCAGAGGATTGAAGCCAAAGGTAAATTGGAGCCCAAATTATGATCACAGATGCCATTTTTTTACCTATCACACTAGCACGGATAATACTTAGTGCTGCTGAGAATGTGAGGAACTAGTACATACATGTACTGCAGGTGAGAGCATAAATTGATACAGCCATCTTTAGAGGGTGATTGACACCACTATCAAATTTTTTAATTTTGACTTAACGATTCCATTTGTAGGAAATTATGTTACAGATAATCTCATACATGTATACAGCTTTACTATCAAACACAACAAAAGGACAAATATTGTATAAGACCACTATTATAAGAAGTCAAGAAAAGTTTTAAACACAGAAGAAAACATTCTTTGATGGTTACGAGGGTGGCAAGGGAAAGTGAGGGTTATTTACTAACTAGATAGTAGATAAGAATTGTCTTAGGCGAAGGGAAGGACAGCACACACTACAGGGGAAGCCAGCACAGCTGGACTAAACCAAAGCTAAGAAGTTTCCTGAATACAATCAAATACTTTGAGAGACAGAGTAGCAGGGGTAGGGGTCTGGGGACTATGCTTTCAGGGGACATCTATGTCAATTGGCATAACAAAGCTTATTAAGAAAATGTTCTGCATCCTACTTTGGTGAGTGGCATCTGGGGTCTTAAAAGCTTGCAAGCGGCCATCTAAGATGCATCAATTGGTCCCAACCACCTGGAGTAAAGGAGAACGAAGAACACCAAAGACACAAGGAAAGGAGTAGCCCAAGAGACAGAAAGGGCCACGTAAACCAGAGACTTCATCATCCTGAGACCAGAAGAACTAGATGGTACCCGGCTACCACCAATGACCGCCCTGATAGGGAATACATCAGAGAGTCCCTCATGGAGCAGGAGAAGAGTGAGGTGCAGAACTCAAATTCTAGTAAAAAGACCAGACTGAATGGTTTGATTGAGACTGGAGGGACCCCGGAAGACCTGGCCCCCGGCCTGTCTGTTAGCCCAAAACTAAAACCATTCCTGAGGCAACTCTTCAGACAAAGATTAGACTGGACTATGGGACATAAAATGATATTTGTGAAGAGTATACTTCTTAGCTCAAGTAGATACATGAGACTAAATGGGCAGCTCTCGTCCCGAGGTGAGATGAGAAGGCAGAGAGGGTCAGGAGTTGGATGAATGGACACAGGAAATCCAGGGTGAAAAGAAAGAGTGTGCTGTCACAGTATAGGGAGAGCAACTAGGGTCACAAAACAGTGTATGTATAAATTTTTGTATGAAAGACTAACTTGAATTGTAAACTTTCACTTAAAGTACAACAATAAAATTTTAAAAAAAACTAAAAACACAAAAATATCTAGTGTCCTAGATTGGTACCAATATTTTACAATGGCCCATGGGTGTGAAAGGGACCTCCAGTAATCCAGCAAGGGCTCTGGACCTAGCTCTGGCCTCCTTAGGTCCTTGAGCGCCTCTTCTGACCTGGTATTTAAGGGAGGTGGTTCCATAGACTCCTGGCCTAGGAGTTTAGCAGGGTGTAACATCCAGAGCCATTAGAGATGATGCTATAATCGGTACTATTAGCTTCTTCTGTTCCGTAGCCTGCAGAAGGACTGTGTAGTACTTGAGAGACATGCAAAGACAAGGGTTTCCCTGCTGGGCAGGGCGAATTTGAATTGTCCATATTTTGGCTGAATGTTTTAACCAAAAAGTATACAAAGCTCAAGACCAATAAGAATGGCTGATTCCTTTTGAGATTATTCCTAACCCTAGAATAGGATTGGGTAGGGAGTTGCTAAAGGAATTAACCCTGCCAATTTAGAACTGGTAGAAGCCACTTGGTTGTTTTCGTATCACTGGGTAAGATATTACAGTGCCAAGACGCTGATTAGGAATATCGTTCAGTAGTCTTTGTTTCTCACTGTGCTATCCAGATGGATGATTGTAGTAAATCCTCAATTTGCAAACAAATTAAAAAACTGAATGAAATTTATTTAATGTTTGTTTTTCCTCCCATAGACCTTTTTTAGTATTAATATTATCCCCATTTTACAAATGAGGATACTTAGTTACAGAGAAGTTAATTACCCTGCATCACAGAGCTAGTAAGTCATAGGAAGCAGGTGTTAACAGAAAAAGGTAGCCATGGATAAACCACACTTAACCCCATAGCTTCTTTTATTATTAACAGGAGTGCTTATGATTGGGAAAGTAATTTGCAGAAGTGAAGTTATTGTTAGTTTGTATAATGGCATTACCTTTATCGATTTTTGAAGATGCTTAGCAAAAAATAGGCTGATTTAAGTACTCTGTCCCCTGAATGAGAATCCTGCTTACTGTAGTGCATGCCAGGGCTTCTTCCTGTCAGGCATTTATATGTTCGCATCATGTATTAATGCTTTTGTTGTCGGGCTTTTTATCATTTGGTAATGTAGTATATGTTATATGCCACAAGATTGTACTCTACAGTATTTTCCTTCTCTCCATTAAGCAGAGGCCTTCATTATTTTTTTCCCCATCCTTTTTTAAAGTTGCATGCCTCCTTCTTGGGCTTTAGAATCAAACAGACCTGTTTCACATCTCAGCTGTGTAACTTACTGGATGTGCACCAGTTTAAGTTTTTAATCTCTAAGTCTGTTTTTCTTAACTAGAAAAATTGGGACAATAATACCTACCCAGGAGGATTGTTGTGAGAATTAAATGCAATCAGGTATGCACAACTCCTGGAGCATATCAAGAGTTTTTCATACACACTGTGCTGTGGCTCCTCTCCATGCCTTTGCACATGTCTGTCTGTCTGTGTTTCTGTCTATCTGTCTCTCTCTCTCTTTCTCTCTCTCTCTCTGGAATGCCTCTCTTAAAGATTCTGCCCAGGTGTTTTCTCCTCTGCAAAAACCTTCTCTGTCCCTTCCCATGACTCCCACAGCAGAACTGGGTATTTCTTCCTCCTCTGCACCCCTGAAATTTACCCACACCTTTATTAAAGCACGTATTTCAAGTTGTAACAATTATCTATCTACCTTCCCTACTACACTGAGATACTCAAGGCCAGGGATTGTCTTTTTCCTCTCTGTATCCCTAGCTGTCAGACAGGTCCTGGCTTATAGTAGATGACCAGGAGAAAAAAAAAAAAAGCAGAAGAATGAATGAACGAGTGAATGAGTGAATGAATTTTGGATACATAAAGCCTATTTTTGCAGATTACAGGACACAAAGTCAGTGTCCCAAGAAAGGCATTTGTGAGATGGTTGCATTTATCATGGGGTCTCTCCTTGCTTTTTTTTAAGGTTATGCTCATAAAAGAACCACATGAGACACTGATAAATGAACTGAGGACGTGTGGCCTTGGCCTGAAATCATCCTTCAACCTAATTTCTCCACTTGAAACTAAGTGCAGCTCTCATCCCCACTGCCTTTCTTCTCTTCTTTCAAGAACTTTCTTCTTTTACAGATGAGAATCGTCATTTCTGAGAGAGACCTTTCCTGAGTGTCAGGATTTTTTATCACAAGCATCATAAACTAACTCTGGCCAGTTTAAGCTGTTGAAGAGTTCATTGGAAAGATACTAGGTAGCTCACAGAATTTTCTAGCTAAAAGCTTAGAAAATGGGCTGCAGCTAAGATCATACCCCAAACAAGTCTGGTGAGGATACTGCTGCCTTCCTAAGTGAACACTGGATGTGACAGCTTGCACTGTTACTCCTACCACCCACCAACCCGAAGTGGATTCTTTCTGGTTCCCACGTCTTCGAGTGGATTCTTTCTGGTTCCCAGTCCAAGGTCTGGAATAGCTGCATCCCATAGGTCAAGCCTAGGTCATGTGTTCATTCTATAGTACAAGGAAGGGTGGCACTTTTAATCTAGTATTTTTCATTCAGTTAGTGGCAGACTCTGTCCAGTGTCACACCTGAGAACCTTTGAGCAGGGATGTGGGTCAGCAGTGGTGCCCCAGCCACTGGTACTTTCTCCTGAGATCACATGCAGGCTGAGGGCATGAGCCTAGGTGAGGGGGCTGGGACACCAGCTTCACCTCCAACACAGGAGGCATGGCACTGCACTTCTGGAGTGCTGTTGGCTTACAGCTGTTATTTACAGGTTAAAAATGTTCTCACGTATGCCATCTGACTGAATTCTCATAAAAACCCTCTGAGGTGTTATCCTTGACACCATTTGGCAAAGTGGAAACTGAGACTTTGAAAAGTTGAAACTTGCCCAAGGTACGTAGTTAGTGGATGACAGAACTGGGTCTTCAGTCTGAATTATTGCCAAATGGCCTCCAAAAGGACCAGAGGAAAAAGCCACTCCTGGCTTCCCAGGAGATTTTGATCAGTGATGCCCCTTCTCTCCCTTTGGTCCCTCTTTCCCAAACCAATAAGAAAAATGTATTCAGCCTCATATCCCTGCTCTTCCTGATCCTTGGGAACCTCAGGTCTTAACCCTTTCTCCCGCTCAACATACCACCTTACCCAGATCTCCCCTTGAGTTGCAGAGAAGCTTTGTTTCTTGAGCAGGGTATTATAACCTGTTGGTAATTTATTGAAAATAGAATTCAGAACCCCCAGTCTTTTCTCTGCCTCCATTCCCTTGGAAGGGTACCCAGAGTATCAAAAGCAGCTGCTTAGCTGGTGTGGCGCTGCCTCCTTGTCCTGTCCCCTCCCCTGCCTCCACATTGCATTTCTCTGTCTTCTTTGTCGTCTTCTGGGTTGGGCTTGTGGCCCCCCACAATGTTTCTTCCACCTCTTCCTGCCTCTTTGTCCTTGTAAGTTTTTGCCCAGCAAAAAGTAGAAGCACCCACAGTGCTTTCTTCTTTCAGCTCTTCCTGAAGGGAGGAGTTGCTCCCTTTTGTTGTTTTCAAAAGGGTTTAAAATCCATATGCATAATTAAATGAGTGAAGTCTCCATTTGTCACCACCACCCCAAAGGGCCTCTGCTTTCTTGTATGCTGGAACCTGGAACCTCACCATTTCTGCTTTCTCTCCTCCCCATTTCCAGCAAGGTAATGATGTTGTACCTTCCTTTTACTTTGCAAGACATCTTTTC